TGCTGTGACACAGAACCAGAACACAACTATTTGTTACAAGTTTCATTCTGCCCCAACCTGGAACTGATCCTGAACACTCTGGTGCAACTCCGGCTTCAGTGTCACTGCTCCGCCAGTCGGTTTAGGCAGTGAATTCCTTTATGTCGGAAGATTGGGAAGAAATCTATCTGTATCCACTTCCCGATGGGGTGACGTCACCTCCTGTGCTCTGGAAAACAATGTTTCCCCTATAAAGATCCTGGGAAGTTATGCTGCAGGCCACTTGGCGTCACGAAGTAAGCAGCTGGACGTTTGTGTTACTGTGTTTCAAGTAAGAAGGATAAACACATTTAGCAAACAGCTAAACACGTGTCAAATGTCCACTGTAACGATGGGAATGAGATTTCACCGCAGAATCGAGGGTGGGTGGTACAGAGCAGATGCAGTATACGCTGGCAGACTACTGTAGATGGCCTTATCCAAAGTCCTTCTGTCTGCACTGCAGCATATGAAATAGCTATTATTTTATAGGTACAAAAGGGTGGTGAGGCAATTCATTTTAAAGTCACTATCCGAACAGCAAATTAAAAATGAATGAACACCATTATAATAATGTGAAAAGACTGAATGAGGAATCTGGAATGGTACAGGGTTACGATGAGATCACATTCTGTGAAGTGGCTTTTGGTATTTAAAGTTCGTTTGTTGAAAGAGCCTTACAGGATTCAGCAGTGCAAGTGGTAGTTGCAACTACAGTACGTAACCATAAAGCTTCATTTAAATGTAAAGAATTAATACTCAAGAATCAAGATAGTGATAATATTTATTATTAGGTTTGTATAGTGTGCACTTTAACAGCCTTTCTCAAAATATTAAGAGCAAGATCTTTTATAGTGCCATATTTGAGAAAACTAATCTTAATATCTATGAGTTAATATTGTTGCAAATGGGGGTTATGAAACTGTTGAAAATCAAGAATTGATCGATACAATACATTTGTTTTGTAATGTTATGCACTGTCACACAGCTTTGTTAAATGCCTTGGGGCAACCTTGTTGTGAAATGTGCTACAGTATGTAAAAATACATTGAAATTGAATTGAAATTTAGTCGAACAGTGAAATAATTATTCATACAGTAACCCCCAACTTGTATGCGATTTCTAACCATATACCCCAGCGGCTGGTATAACTAGAGACACCTGGATTCTCTATTCTCTGGCACAGCTTAGTTGAGAGGAGTAATAATCCAGGCACACTTGGTTAAAACAAATATTTATTACAATGACAGTATGGGATTAAAAATTGTTTTACAAAACAAGCGACTACGCATATTCTTTTTGTTTTGTTTTGTTATTGTTTTAGGATTTCTTTAGGACAGGTGTGGTGGTGTTTGCTTTTCTCGAGAGTTTTAAAAACACGACCGCGGTAGTGAAATTCACCTCGGAACGACGAAGCAAGGAGGAAAGTGAAAATCCCTCCAGGCCCTCAGATCACCTGCCTGTAGTG